GAGAGAGAGAGAGAGAGAGAGAGAGAGAGAGAGAGAGAGAGAGAGAGAGAGATGGCCAAAGAAATGGCGGAAAAGCGAATGGATTCCCCCCCTCCGCCCACCTCTTTTTAAATGTAATTTTTGAAAAATCAAATGGAGAAATCAGAGGACAGTAAAGCATTTCCAGGGAAATCAAAAGCAGTTGGAAAGAAAGAACAGGACAAGGCTCTCACTGTGTCACTCATCAATTGCGCAAAAGGAGAATGCATTTGGAGCTAGAACGTGGAAATATACACCCAACAAGACGTACAAAAAGAATCAGAGAAGAAGGCAAAGTAAAACATACAGCGAAGTATACCAAAAGCATTTGAAAGCAGAGTCAAGTCATCAATACAAAGAGTGAACGCAGTGAAGCTTGGTCGATCTACGATGCTGGCTATGCCGGCGAAGGTCGAGGGGAGCATAGTAATAACTCATAAATGGAAGCAAAGCGAAAAAAAACAAGACTTTGCAATAGTGTACTGTCCAAGCTAATGAATTGTTTTTGTTATTAACTTGTATTAATCAATCATCAATGTAAATGATAAAAATATTTTTTAAATATTTTCTTAATGTCTTTGTTAAACCTCATGACTGCAACTGGTTAAGTATACATTACCCCACGATTGAGGTCAACCAGGGCGGCGTGCACCCATATGCCGGAAGAATTCGTGAATAAAAGAAAAATTCAAAAAAGTTGAAAAAATCTTATATTAAAAAAAAAGGCAAGAATTCGTGAACAAAAGAAAAAAATAAAAAAAGTTGAAAAAATCCCTACACTTATAAAAATTGCTAATGTCAGAATTCTGAAATCCGGGCCGTCTTTGGACCTACCGGCCCGACGGCCCGGATTGGGCCCCGATCTTAGATCTTTAAGATCGCGCGGCGATCCAGGCTGTTCGCGGTTGCACCTGCCTGACGGCCCAGATCGCCCCGCGGTCTTAAAGTTTTAAGATCGCGGGCGAATCCGGGCCGTCGGGCCGTTTACGGCCTGGATCGCCGCGGTGGCTTGGGGAGTTCGGTCCGAAAGGACCGTTGGCGGGCGGGCGGGAAAACTACGGTCCTACGCGACGCGACGCGACCACGCTACGCGACGTGACGCGACCTACGCTACGCGACCTACCTACTCGACGCGACCTACGCTACGCGACGCGACCTACCTACGCTACGCGACCTATCTACTCGACGCGACCTACCTACGCTACGGGACCTACCTACTCGATGCGAACTACGCTACGCGACGCGACCTACCTACGCAACGACTGATCTTGGATACGTGCTTTTCTCTCTCTCTCTCTCTCTCTCTCTCTCTCTCTCTCTCTCTCT